ATCTTTCGGAACGTCATTTTTGTGGTAAACATGTAAATGCGGAACATTTTTCAGACGATTGTAAACGTAATCAACTTTTCCAACTTTCGGCGCAAGCAGCATATTAAACCAAGAATCCCAGAAATCATAAGTGTTTGGGTCCACGTGTTTATCAAGGTCAACAACTTTGTTCCATGAAGTGTTTGCCATACCGTGATCCGCTGTGATAATGATGTTCACAGTGTTTAGAAGCCCGTGATATTTCAATCCCTCCACAATCAAACCAATAACTCTGTCAATTTGCTGAATGGTTTTTGGTATCCCATCCCATCCAACAGAGTGGCAAATATGATCAGGCTCTTCAAAGTACACGGCGACAAAATTAGGTGGATTTCGACCCGTCAACCAACTCATCATCTTCTCGACACGTCTTTCGAAAGACACAACCCTCCCTGTTTTATTCCTCGTGTCGATGTTTGACGATGGGGAGGTCTCCTGGTAGTACGGATACATCCCCTTGATTTTCACATTATACCCGGGCCAGTACAGCACAGCACTCCTACCGTTGTAGCGCTGGTTTGTTACCCATATTGGTTCTGCACCGTCCCACCACCGTGGATCTGTTGTGGCGCCTCCAAAACGTGCCTTCAGATCTGGGTCGTACATGGTATTACCTACAATTCCGTGGCTTTCAGGGTAGAGACCGGTCACAATGCTGTAATGTGCTGGGTAAGTCACAGTCGGGAAGACAGATCGTACATAGGGAACAGTTACGCCAGTCTTCTTAAGGAAATCCAAGTACGGTGTATGGGCCTTGGAGGCAAAATCCCACCGGAACCCGTCTAGGGAGATAAGAATGAGGGGTTGAGGTTGCAACTGAGAGTTTGCCCAGTGAAAGAAACATAATGTGCCTGAGATAACTAAATAGATTGAGAGAATCATCTTTGATGAAGCAAACTATTACTTAAAGTCGCAATCGAATAGCAAGTAAATTTCAGACAATTAACCTGTCATACTTTTATCGAGACACCATAAACAACCTGCTTTTCTTGTGTTTTGAATATAACAGATGTAAACTCTGTACACTTAAGCAAACTTCACGCTTTAAAATGTACACCAAAGGGGCGGAGCAAAGATAAGTATCCAAAGATGTCCGTATTCTGCCTTTTTTTGAGGCAAAGTTGTAAGTGGAGTTTGCATCTGTGAGATTAAGAGATTACAGTTTCTAAAGATGCAAAGTACACTTTGTCAGTTTAACTGGTAGTGGGCGGGGCAGGAGGAGACTCGCAACGTCTCACCCACCCACCCCCCTATGCTCTAGGTTTATCCCCCCTAGCCCTTTCTTTGGTTCCTAGGCATCTCTTTGTTGCCTTTCTGCTAGCAAAATATTATGAAGTGTTGTGAACATGTCAAGAAGTTATTGCCAGAGATTAAATAGGACATTTTCGGGGACCAAAAATTGAAACCCTGACTTTTAAAACGTGGCCAATGATGATGATGATGAATAGTAAATGATACATCAACAGGTCGTCGTGATTAACCACATCGGAAATTCAACCTTCATCTACTTGTTTCTTTGCTTTAATTCTTTTTTCTGTATCCAGGTCACATAAATAGATATTTAGGCTAGTACAAAAAAATTTACTGTAGGCGAAAACTAGTCTTAAGCAAAGAACTGAGCGAAACTACATGTTAAAACAGCGGGTAATTCTGGTGTCAAAAATCTGACAGGTACATTGTTTGTTATCACGGCACAATTGTTTTAGGTTAGACCATTGTTTCCCCTTATTCACCGTGAATCTGTGTCTGCCCCTATGATGTTTGCGTTCTGTTACTTTATCTCAGGGATAGTTTTCATCTCAGGGGTAGATAGTCGACCCCAACCCCTCCTTCTTATCTCCCTAGATGGGTTCCGGTGGGATTTCGCCTGCAAGGCCCATACGCCGTACTTGGATTTTCTCACAAGGACTGGCGTAACTGTTCCCTATGTGCGATCTGTCTTCCCGACGGTGACTTATCCAGGACATTACAGTATTGTGACTGGCCTTTATCCAGAAAGCCACGGAATTGTAAGCAATGCCATGTACGACCCAGATCTAAAGGAACGCTTTGGAGCCGCCAATACAGACCCACGGTGGTGGAATGCAGCGGAACCAATATGGGTGACAAACCAGCGCTACAACGGTAGAAGTGCCGTGTTGTATTGGCCCGGGTATAATGTGAAAATAAAAGGGCAGTATCCAAAATACCGAGAATACTCCCCTTTGCCAAACGTCGATCAAAACAATAAAACTGGAAAAGTCCTGCCTTTTAAGAAACGTGTTGATAAGGTAATAAGATGGCTGACAGTGAAAAACGCGCCAAACTTTGTGGCCTTGTATTTTGAAGAACCAGACAAAACTTGTCACCATCAAGGAAGGAAAAAGGTGTGCGAATCCATGCACAATGTGGATAAGACGATTGGACGCTTAGTGGAAGGACTTAAACAACACAAACTGCTGGACAAAGTGAATATTATCATCACGTCGGATCATGGCATGGCGAACACATCTTGCAACAAAATTGTCGATCTCGATAAATATGTGGACCCAAAGAATTTTGATTTCTGGGATTCGTGGTTTAATATGCTACTTACGCCCAAACCAGGAAAATTAGAGTATGTCTACGATCGTCTCAAAAATGTGTCAAATTTGCACATCTATCATAAGAATGAAGTCCCCGAGTATTTACACTTCAGGAAAAACAGTCGCATTTCACCGCTTGTGGTAATTCCATCAGAGGGCTGGCTCGTAAGTTCAATTAAGGGCCGGCACGTCCAGGATGACCCCGTCATAACGACGGAACTTTCACACGGATTTAACTGTAAATGCAAGTCGATGTCAACTGCATTTATCGCGCGCGGGCCAGCATTTAAGGAAAACTTCTGTGGAAAACCTTTTGAATCAGTCAGTTTGTATCCATTAATGTGTAAAGTTCTGGGGATCCAACCTCTGCCAAATAATGGTAGTTTAGAGGCCACTGCAGATCTACTGAAACCAACAACCAAGTTAGTTAATGAGTGAAGAACGTCACAGACCACTGACACAGGTGTCCGTCGGTTTTATAAACTTAAATAGGTGTCGGCTGGGAGAGAGTGGGCTTTACTTCTCAATCAGTTCCTTGGCGGGATAATCAAGTCAAAGGAAGTTTCCTCCAATAACTATTAGGGACCTTGAGATCGGACGACGGCGACGGCAACGGCAACGCAACAAAAGCAATAGGTTTATTTAGCAAAACAACAATTTTGCACGTGCATAACGCTTTTTTGTACATTTCTGCACGACTACGACGTGAAAATGCCTAATTTCACGATGTACAGAGGAAGTACACAAGCGACGACGAGATTTCCTCTCTCTTTCTGAACTTGGATATGATTCTTAGGAATTCAACTTTAGGAGGGTTCGCCTACATTTGACAAAGTTAGTGACTTGGAGTAATCGCGATAAAGATTGAAAGAAAGCGAATTCACTTTTTCAGCGACGTTTTCACTGCCGTCGCCGTCCTCGGATCTTAAGGTCCCTATTATAAGTGAAGCAAAAAACTCTGATTGAGGTCTTTGGAGACAGTATGCGGGATCACGTGATCCCGTCAGCTGTTGCACAATCATAGCCCGATACAAACGTCCTGATAACCATCGCGTGGTCGAGTGGTCATCAGTAAGTCGGACCCGCCATCGGGTTCAAGCTTCAAACTTTAACCAAAAGCGCGCGAGATCACTTCTCCTCCCCCTTTTCCATGTCTGTTCTTCCAATTGTTCTTAGTGGAGTCGATGGATAGGTTATAAAAGCAACCTGTTTAGATGACCATGCGATGATCAGGTGTTCTGATTTTGTTAGTGAGCTTTAGTGCAAAGATCGGCAGATTACACCCCATCCAAATTACATGATGAGCCAAAAGAGGGTTACTGACTTGTGTCCTCCCAAACATCCATTCGCATTGCAGGTGACACAAAATAGCACCACAGGGGGTACGTTTCATCTCGTGTAATCAAACGGTTCAAACGAGCTTGATAACCCTCACAATACTCTCATCAGCATTGTAGTGTACCAGTGTAGGTTGCAGGTAAGATTGCAATATTGTCCTATGTTACATACACTACAAGAAATCATTCTTTACATCCCGTCCTGCGGTTTGCTGTTATATTATTCCTCAATGACACAGGTAAAAAGACACACTGATAGATGTACACCTTCTGGGCAGACAAATCGGTGAAATTTTTGCTTAGTCCAAAGGATGGTTGGAAGGGAGAACAAGATTTCAATTGACCAATATATGAGCATTATTACAATACTCAACCTACCTCGTATTGTAAGTTACAAGGGTTTTTATACTGATCACAGGCTTTAATTTCACAGTGTCTCTTCCCATAGGCATATCATTAACAATACTTTTTACCAAATATAAGCATTTAATAGATGAGGAATGCTCAAGATGGAAACGTATCATTTTCATTATATGAATTGTTTCGTTATCAGTCACTATGTTATACAATTGGGTATTTACACTGCTTAATTCTTCAATATCATTCCCCAGAGGAATCACATGAACCTCGCTTGAAGTCTGTCTCTGCTTATTTTCTCTGCATCACTTTAGTTAAAACTCCTGACGACCAGACTTTATCCACCCAAAAAAGGATTCATACATGCCACAAACCAATCTAGGGTCCATACTAATACTACGAAGCAAGAATCTAACTCCAGGAATTCTTCCAGGGTACGAATACGAAAATTCCAGAATCCACAACTCCAACATTTCACTGTAATGATATGAAAGCTAGACATCCTATATATCTTTTGCATTCCACATGTAAACCAAGTTTTTCTGGAGTGAGAAAAAACGAGATCTTCTAGCGTGTTGTCCAAGGTACGGACAGAAAATTTTAAAGTTCTAAGAGTCTGCCAGAATTCCAGGACAAAACAATGAACTTTACCAATGACAAGTTTTCTTTATAAGCAAAGCTTGTCAGGTTAAACTCAGTATCT